GTGTGAATTACCCCAGGCCCACCAGTGACCTTCCACTCCAGATCCCTGCAAGACAAGCACACCAAGAAGCACAGCAGCTGCGATCCTGTTGACTGGTGCCTACAGCTGAACAAACCACTCCTGGAGAGAGGCTGGGAGATGGTCCTTCTGCTTGAACTGCTCCTGGAGGTGCACCAGCACTGGGCTCTGTCTGCAGGAACAGGGCCTGACTCCACTTCCTGCTGCTTTAGTGTCACCTGACTCCTCCTTCTCCTCCTCCCACTGGGCAGCTGACTGAAAGCTACAGTGCACTCTGGGCACCATGGTTCTGACAAGAGCCATGATAGAGCCACACTGAAGCTAAACAAGGAGAGGGAGTTTCGAGATGAAGCAGAGTATCAACCGAGAGCAGTCCTAGCCACTGAATCGTAAAAGGAGACATAAATCAAGGAGAAAAATCAGCTCCTGCTTTATTTAAAACATGCCCACTTGCTCAACGTGTATGTATATATATCCCTCCATCACAGCTTCCCTGCAACCAAGACATCTTTCCCACAAAAAGCCACACAGAAAGGGTGAACTAGTGTCTCTGCAGGAGCTCCAGCAGGCTCTGAGTTCTACTCTCGCACCCCCTCCTTATATACACCGCCTGCAGGCTTGAATTGACAGCACCTGTCCCCCATCAACCCAGGGGAGGTATTCCATTGGCCACCATTATCCCCTCCCCCCCCCCCCCAACAGCCTGCTGGGAAATGTAGTTCAAGAGGTCCTGCAGCAAGACAGTCCCACTGAGAAAGATATAGATGGTGGAGACGGCACGCTCCCTCCTCCCCTTATCAACACTCCTTGACTTTGCGTGCACACACACACACCGTGCAATACAAACGATACAGGCAGAGGGGGAACGCACGCTGCCCTGGTTGGAGCGTGGATGTAGTACGGTATGTTGAAATCAGAGATGACAAGTACGTAGTGTAACGGGCAGCCAGCGTTCGGGAAGGACCTAGCCACTGCTCCAGCCCGACTGCAGCTCCGCCTCGGCTCCTGTGCCCCAGCGGTCCCCAGCCCAGCTCCGCCCTGGGGGAGCAAAACACACAGTCTGAGACTGAGCATAGTCACTCAAATTACCCCCCCCATCAGCAAGCTCAGAGAAATGGGCAGAGCTGTTAAGAACAGCAGGCGAGCGTGGCCGAGGCTCAACACAATTGCGTTGTGCGCAGACGGGTGGCGGTGTGTAACGATTGCAGCATGGTACAGGCCACACCTCAGCACACACGCTTAACCCTCCTTAACACCGGCAGGTCTGCACACTGAAACGGCTGCAGGGTGGGTTGAGGACGGGGCTGAAGTGGACCAGTGCGTCATGGGCACAGCTGTGAGCCTACACGTCCTGGTATTAATGGGACAGTCCAGCACAGAGGTGGCAGCATTAGAACTGGACCGTGGTCAGGTCTGCTTATTTGTGAGATGGGACAGCACCAGCTGGGCAAGAAGTCACGCACCAGGTAACGTATTACAGCACTCCAGGTGAAAGGACAATATACAGGTCACACTCTTACAACAGGACAGGTAGAGAGTTCACTCGCCCCTGGTCTGAATACCGCAACGGGACAGGTAGGCAGCACAGTACAGACAATTGAGTGTTACAGGACAGGTACAGAGTTCACTCGACACTGGTCTGAATACTGGAACAGGACAGGTACACAGCACAGTGCAGAAAACCGAGTGTCACAGGACAAGTACAGAGTTCACTTAACACTGGTCTGACTACGGCAACGGGACAGGTACAAAACAGTACATAGATCTGAATATTACAAAAGTACAGGTACAGAGGTCAGTGCTGTAGTTTGATCATCACAATCCTACATGTGAGAGTTAGAAAAATAGGCTGCACTCTTAGAGCACAATACAGAGAAGACTTCAATACAGACATGCCATTATATAAATAACATCACAGAGAAAATTCAGCCTCCCTACCTGAGCCTTACAACACTACAGGTGAGTTTGTTACAGACGGCTGAGGAAGGCAGTGGTACAGGTTCAAAATTAAGTGCAGACATCACAGCAATACAACAGTACAGGTACAGAGTTCAGGACATAAGGCACAGAGGTACAATGGTACAGGGTTCAGATTACAGTATTACAACAGTACAG